TATTAAGGTGTGATCTTCAAGAAGATGATTCACAAACTTTTGTGAGGTATCTATTTGGATTGAATGTCCAAATAGCTAACACTGTGGAACTTCAAGACTACCACACTCTTGACGATCTTACAAAGCTGGCTCTCAAAGTTGAAGGCCAAATCAAGAAAGGCAAGGCTGCCTAAATGAGAATCTCCTCTTCAAATCCACCTTTGCTCCCCACCCCTTCATCTCCTTCACCTTCCCTAGCTCCTTCCTCTCACCATAAACCCATACTTCCAACCCCTCCCTCAAATATCCAAAATCAATCCCGGCACAATCAAAATATCAACCGAACTCTGAAATGTTATCGTTGCCAAGGCAATGGTCACATAGCTCAAGATTGTCCCAATAAGAAGGTCATAACTCTGGTGGAGTGCAATGATGATACTTTTGACCCTTCATGGGATAGAGAAGAAGAAGAGTATGTCGGACCTGATGATGGAGAGCTTTTGGTCATTCGTGGAACTTTAAGTGCGATGGCCTGTCCAAAAGAAGAAATACAACGAGAGAATGTCTTCCATACTCGTTGTACAATCCAAGAAAAGGTGTGCTCTCTCATCATTGATAGTGGGAGTTGTACGAATGTTGCCTCTAAAACTATGGTGGATAAACTCCAGCTGAAAACTTCACCACACCCGACACCATACACGATTCAATGGCTGAATCATGGTAAAGGGTTACGTGTTGATACTCAATGCTTGGTGTCACTAAGTCTTGGGCAAACCTACAAGGATGAAATATGGTGTGATGTGATACCGATGGACGCTTGTCATGTACTGCTCGGACGACCTTGGTTGTTCGATCGCAGGGTTCTTTACGATGGATACGCTAACACGTATTCATTCCTCAAAGACAATAAGAGAATCACCCTTACTTCTCTTCATCCTGAAGAAAAATCTCCCGTTCATCTGTCAACATTGATACGAGCTGGTAAATCTGAATACATAGATGAAACTCGTCGTGAGACGATAACGACTCAAGTCAACCAGCATGTTTGTGGGAACGTGAATGTAAACACGAGAGACCTCAATGATCAATCCAAGCCAATTTATACTCCGAGTTTGAGGTCAAACTCTTTTGAAGACGGGGAGGATGTTGTACCCCACCATGCATCACCAAAGGGTAAGCAAAATCAGGAGTTAATGCTTAATTGTTATAATCCTTATTGGGTTGAATTCATTCCTTCTTTCCATCAAAAGGCCCAAACCATAACCCTTGCTGCCCAAAACCTTCCCTAAGCCAAACCATAACCCATAAACCTTCTCCCACAAACATCCAAAATCATTTTATCTGTCCAAATAAAGTCTTTGTTATTCATTACTAAGCCTAGGCCGAAGGTGAACAACAAAAGGCAGAATAAAACCTTTGTTTATTTTTTTAGATATAATAATCGATTATCCAACATAGATAATCGACTATTGCTTCCCTCTGAATCCTCCTAACGTATTCCTGCAATGCTCCATAATCGATTATCTCCTAATAGAAAAATCGATTATCACTCATCTCAGAAGATATCCAGTTTGGAAACCAGTCCTTTATAATCGATTAATCTTTTTGTGTCAATCGACTACTGGATCAGAAAATTCTTGGTTTAGCATACACACCTTGTTAATCGATTATCAGTAATAGATAATTGATTATCACCTGTCTCAGAACCTAGAAACCAAAGTCGTCTCTGATTTAACAGTAAAGGTTTTGTCATTTAGGAACACACTTGACTAAATACCATTCCCACTATATATGGACGAAATTCCCATGTTATTATTCAACAAAATCAAAGTCTTTTATAAGCTTAATCCCTCATCCATGTGCCTGCCCAAAAAGTCTCTGATTGAATAGTAATATCTTGTCCTATTACTCACTAAAAGTCAAGCCATGTTGTTTCCTTTATTCTCCCACCTTAAGGACGAAAATCATACATTAAGACCACCCAAAATACATGCCAAATCCCTGACCATTAACCTTGAATTCAACTCATTTGGGATATTAACACATGCACAGCATTTGTTTTATTTTGTAGGAAAGAAGTGGGAAGAAAGGAAACAACATAAAATAAATAGTACAAATAACATAAAGAGGTAAGGATAGCCTATATATTTCAGCCCTGGTTCATTGTATTAATCAGCTTGTAAAATATATATTGTGATAATATAAGTTTCTTGCTCAGCTCTCTCTTTCTAAATTCTATATATTAAATCCTAATTCTATATCTTAAGAGTGGTTCTCTTAAGTGGGAGTTTTAGGTTTTAGATATACTAAATAAGTTGAGTGATTCCTTATTTAAATACTAGAGTTTAACCCGAGTGAAGATAAGTGTGTGTGATTCCTCTTATATTCACTTGATAAATGCTTCTTTCCCTCTCCCTTGTATTCTCTTGAATTCAGCCTCCCCTATATTTCTACACCTTCTCTTCTTCTTTCTCTTCTTAAATTGATATCCTAGACCACCCTGGGTCTCGGGTACAACAAGAAGGAAGATAATCGATTATTGGAGGAGTGTCAATCGATTATTGGAAGCTGCAGGTTTCGGGGGAAGGCTGATAATTGATTATCTGGGAGTGATAATCGACTATTGAAGGCTGCGGTGTTTCACGCAGGATGGATACTCGACTACTAATAGTGATAGTCGATTATTTGGCAGCTCGGGATAGGAAAAAAAGTATTTCTTTAGGAAGGTGAAGAAGCCAAGTTGGTGTTAAAGGATATCACACACCCTTATCTTAACTTGGGGTTGAGTCTAGCATTCAAATAAGATATCACACACTTATTCAAATAACTAGAACCTAAAACTCACACTTAAGAGAACCACTCTTAAGATATAGGATTAGGAATTTGGAATGAAACACACAAGTGAATCACTTTGATTTAAAAATGGAATGCAATGTGTTTCTACACCCAGGCCTATTGCTAAATATATAGGATTACATTGGAGGGAATAAGGGAAAATACAACTCACTCAAAATAATGCCCATGTGCTTATGTTTCTTGAGTGGAATGAAATCAGGGATATGGGTTGCTTGGTGGGGTTTTGGGCTGTTCCTGAGTTACAAGAAATGTTGGGGGAAGGAGGGATGAATGTGGGGAGGGCTGAGGTTGAGGGCCAAGAAGTGGGGGTAAGATAAAGTGGTACATTTGGCTGGGTATTTGTGGAGGTTATGGGGGAATTTGAATTTGGTCAAGGTTGGGAGACAAAGGGGTGTGTGTGGGGTGTGTAATTTGGAGTTTTGTTGTAGGTTTGTTGTGGGGAGTGGATGTATTATTGTGAAAGGAAAGTATCCCTTGGCATTTTGGGTTATAATTTGAGTGTATTGGGGAACATAATGGGGACCATGCTGGGTGTGTTTTTGGACACTTTTTTTCGGCATTGTAAAAGAAAAGGAAAGGGAAATTGTGGCTTGGTTTTCTTTGGATTCTTGGGAATGGATTGTGAAATGTTGGGATTGGTGATTAAGGTGGTGATGGGTTCAGGGTAAGTATGGTTAGGGTGCATGGTTTGGTGATGATTTTCATTCTAGAGGGGGTCATAACACTTGGACATTATTCCATTGATTTCCTTAAGGACTTGAGGGCGATTTGTGGTGCTCTGGGATATATCAGATACCCTGTCTAGGAAGTTTGGATATTCTCCATACCAAGACACTAATGGGGATAATTATTATGAACCTCATAGAGATAATGACTATGACCAATATGGGCCAATACACGACAATCAATCTGATCCGCTCGTCGAAGAAATTATAAGATTAGAACAGAAAATCTTCTATTTTGACGAGGTTTTATTCGCTGAAGGCTCCTGGTACGAACCACCTTACTCCCGTGACTAAACTTTGTTTGCTGAAGAACAAATCGAAGAAAACAAGGTGGCAATTCGAGAAAGAGCAAAACTTCTTGAATCAGTTCGGAAGAAAAGGGAGTTTGAAAGGAGATTATGTGAAGGATTAGAAATGATATAGAAAATGTTGGACGACTTTCAAAGAGAGAGACTAGAAGTTGAGGCTAAAGCTGATAAATTAGTCAATGATCTTTTTAAGGCTATCAAACTTAAACGCTCGCTCCAATCTCCAGACCAAATAAGGGAGACTAATGAGACTCTAGAACTTAAGACCAACCTTAAACCACTCAATCATCAGGTCCCAGATCTAGAAAAGTCACACAGACTAACATTATCACAAAAACCTGAGAACATAACAACTCTCGCTAGGGCTATTGTGGTGATGTTACCTGAACCCTTGCCTAGCCAATTCCCAACCAACATAGTCGTATATGAGGTGGAACCAACCAAGGAACCTGACTCAGAACCACCTATGCTTATTCAAGAAAAGGAGCCCATCCACAACAAAACCCCAAGATTCCAATACCCACGAGTCTTTGGAGGAACCTATAGATGAAGAAATATCGTGCATAGAAAGGCCAACTCCGTCTACAGGAACCTACGCAAATAATGATTCATCTGATGATTCAAACCATGCGTTCTTTGATTCCCTACTCGACGGGTATGACTATGTCTACCCGAAGGATAGTTGGCACTTAAAGAGCTGGGATGAACTTCTGGTGAGTGACGACGAGGATTCTTTTTTGGGGGAAAGCACGGTCATAATCATTAAGCCCCAAATAGGTAGTCAACCTATTGAAGACAAGGAAGAATTCAATAACGCTATGAAGGCCAAAGATGTGGGTCAACTTAGGAGACTTCCGCCACCGCCCATCTATCTAGAGTCTCCTCTATATATCATGTTGCCACCAAGCCGCAGGGACGAGTCAAGGATCCTAGGCCTTGACCACACAAAACATCAAACATGATGGCATCAGAAGAGGGTTAGAAGGGCTAAACTTTATGACTCTCGGATTGGAAGGTCACTGAAAAAGTGGGTGAGCGTCAAGCTACGGACGTTAAAGAAGCGCTTAAACGTGAGGCAACCCGTCATTCAGATAATTCAATTAATAAATATGCTTATCTGTTATTTACTTGCCGCACTAGTTGGGGGCAAGGTTTTACTCGTTTTATTTTTTCTATTCTACAGATGGATGTTGCTTGGATGATTCCGCATGGAAACCGCCGCACCTTGCAGAACATGTAGGAGCTCTCTTTGCACTCAGAGGAAGCGAAAAAGAAGTTTCTCACTTGGGGAAACCTGAAGATGCTCCAGCTTCCCATGGTGCTGGACCCTGCCTATCTGGATGAACTAGGACACTGGCAGGACATTGATGAGTTGCTGTACGACCCAAAATGGAGAATCTTGCTGTTCTTGCATGCACCAGCCAGCCTGGAAGCCGCCATCGAGTTTCTTTGTTCTCTCCGCTTCCTCAATGACGGAGAGGAGGCAAAGTCAGCAGCCGAAGTCACCTCCATCACAAAGGTCACATTCACTCTGATGGGTCGACTGCTGAACCTTACCGTGGCAGACTTAGGGTGGTTGATTGGTCTCTACACGCTCGATGAAATGCGGAGCCTGGCTTTTGCCGATCTGCCCGACCAGTTGGATCCAGAATTCGATGTTAAGAAGTTCTGGAAAGCTCACGGGCATGGCCGATTTCACAGTGGAGCAAGCTTAGCAAGGAATTGGGCACGTCCGTTGTGGAGGATTTTGCACCATGCATTAGCTCACAGCTATTTCGGCTGCTCTCAAGAACCTGACGTGGTGTTTGAGTCTGATATGCTATTTTTCTGGAGTCTGGAAGCACACGTACCAGTCAATTTAGCAACCTTTGTGGCTCGATTCTTGTTTGCTCAGTCTACTTGCAAGCATGTTCCGACAACCAACAGGGTATTTGGCCCAGATTGCTTACAATAAGGAAGACAACGAGGCACGTCCCAGACGGCAGCATACTATTCCTATGACTCTTCGCGAGCTTTCGCAGGCTATGTTTGCATTCCAGGATTCTGTGGATTCTCGTTTGAGGAGCATGGAGACACTCCTTCTCACACAGCAGTGGCAGGTGGAGGAAATACTCGACTACATCCGGGAACAAGGAGCAAAGAAAACGGAGCATGAGGCGGGTCCTAAGCAAGGCAAACGTCATGGACAGTGAGATCCCTAATTTTACTATTATTGCACTTGGAACATTATTTTGGATATCTATATGATTCTATTTTGGAATTTTTCTTTATATAATTCTTAAAACCATGTTGGGAATATTTTATGCATTACTTCATATTTACATGTTATGGTCATCTATTATTTCAATCTTCATTGTTGAATCTTATAAGTATTGCGATAACTTAGCAATTGCATGTGAGCATTTCAACATTTAACTCCAATTCCAAACACTCTTAACCACGAGGGCGTGGTTCCGTTTAAGTGTGAGGAGGCAAGAGTTCTTTGTTAAAATGATCTTTTAGGAATTGTTTTGTCTATATATTTGTAGGAAAGGATTCTTATAGAATAGTCATTAATTTTAATTTTTGATTAATTAAAACTTTAGTCATCACCCGTAAAAGTGGAAATTTTTAAAACTTTTTGTCAAAATTTTATTTTTACTCTAACCTTTTGGGAACGTTTTCTAAATGATTTGGGATAAATTCACAATTTACTAAGAGTTTTTAAGATCAATCAATTTTAAGTTGCTTTATTGAAAATCTTCTTATAAATACTCATTTATCTCTCGGGCTATGTGTATTTGTTGTTTCTTAAAAAGAGTTATTTTCAAAGTATAGAGGGTGATGTTTCAAAGTATACTTTGGTGAGACCGAGATTCTTGTTTTAGCCAAAAAGCAATTGGTTCTATGTCAATTGATGAGGCTTGGTGAGTATGCTAAAAAGCACGCGGTTCTATATTGCGTGATGAGGCCTTTTGAGTGTTAGAGTCAAAAAGCATGCGGTTCTATGTCATGTGATGAGACTTTCCAGAGTGTATATCCAAAAAGCTCGTGGTTCTATGTCACGGGATGAGGTTGTAAATTTTTCTTGTGTCAACATGACAAAGTTATGCCAAAGAAAACTAAACCCTTATACTTTGACTACTACTTTTGCTAGAACAAGTTTTCCAATTTAGCCATTAAAAATTATTTGATCTTTAAAGTACTCTTATAACTGTAGTTATCCCAAGGAAAGTTTGGAAAATTTTGGTTGTTTAGGTTGGTGTAAAAATATTGGTTTGACAAAATTCCGTTACATTTCTAACAATATGGGTGAGAATCTAAAGGTTCATTTCTTTTTAACAAAAAAGATTGATGACTATCTTATTCCTTCTTTCCTTCATAATATGTAGCTTAAACCTTTCCTCTGCAATTATTAATTTGCCTCTATACTTGTAATTATTCAATTTGTTGCTTGAGCGCAAGCAACGTTTTAAGTGTGAGGAATTTGATAAGTCCGTTTCGTTCTTATCTTTTACATCATATTCTAAACGTTATTGCACGTAAATAATATTTAATCATTTCAAAAAATGTGATTTCAATGAATAAAACTCTCATTTTCGTTCTAAAGAGTCATTAAAAGGGATTCCACATAAAATCATCATAAATCATCCATTTTATGTTCAAATACTTGAGGAAAAGGAATAAATCATCAAAGAATCAAGATTTGGGCTTAAACGAGCCTCCGGGAGGATAAAATCGACGTTCGGGCCAAAAAGGAGCAAAAATTGGGCCAAGATCTTGCACCAGCCGCGAAGCCCAAACTGACCAGGGCCTAAGGCGTCCAACTTGGACGCTTGGGAGTTGGACGCCTTGGCTGGATTGAAGTCCAAGGAAGACACCATTTAATGATCTTTCAAGGCAGCTTCCTACCACATGATTAATACTAAACTATTACAATCCAAATGTGCTAACTTTAAGAACAATGGAAGGGGATTTGTTTGGCCTTTTCTTGCATAAGGATTTCGGCCATATGTGGATTAAGTCAAGGACATTATGTGGCTGTGATGAAGCATTCCTTGGCTTATTTTGAGGAGTATATTTCGGCCTATAGTGCAAGAAGGAACCAAGAAAGATCATTAAATGGTGTGGTGTGGAAATAGTCAAGAAAAGACAAGAAATCACTATTCCACTTTATGACTTTTGATTGATTTTTGTTCCTTTGTGGTAAGTGGTGATTTGGTTGGATTTTAGGAACAAAAAGGGGCTGGAATTTCGTGGGGAAGGTGTAGGAAAAAAAGGGGAAGGTCTTATTTAATGAAAGGAACAAAAGGAGTAGAAAATAACATACAAGGTTTGTCTTTTTGATCCTCATTTTCGTCAAGGGTTAAAAAGGAGGGTAAAGACTTTATTTAGATTATCAAATGAAGATAATAGACTTTTGGATATTTTGGGAGAGGTCGGGATTTTAGTGGAGCCGTCCAGGGGTACATCACCCAACTTGATAATATCTATCCCTGATTTTCTCCCACCCTATATCCCTCCATTTCTCACTCTAAACCCCCTTCTTTTCGTCCCTTAAGCCAGAAAGCACCCTATCATTCCTTCCCATAACTTCCCTACCCACCCCAGCCATATTCCTTCCATATTGAAACCTCAAGTAACCCTGCTAATCTATTATCCTTCACTGATAATCGACTATCCGACACCCCTGAACTTCCTTGGCAGAATCCGAAAACCAAAATAATCGATTATCAACTATTGATAATCGACTATCCTGCCTTTCTGAATTTTCTTGGCCTAAACCACACAATCCCACAATCGATTATTGCTTAAGTGATAATCAACTTTTCCCCCTCCCTGAACTCCCAATAATCATCCCGAGAAACTGAACCCCTTGTTAGTCGATTATCATACCTTAATAATTGATTATCTCTTTCTTCTGCAATTTGAGAAGCTTTAATCTTATACTAAAAGCCTAATCCCGGAGCTCGGGTATAACATTTGGTATCAAAGCTAAGTGTTGAACATCCCCAAGGGCCATTCACCATCCCTACCAAGAAGTAAGCATTTTTGAGCTCAAACTCCCTTCCTCTCTCCCTAAACCCCACAGCCAAACTAAACTGCCCTTCTCACCTTTTTCCAACTTCAACCATGTCGAATGAATCCCAACCCATGTCCCATGAAGAGCTTGTTGCCTCCAACGCAGCCTTGAAGGCCCAAGTTGAATACTTGGCCAAAGAAGTGGCTAAGCTCACCAAGATAAAGCTCAACGCCCTTCAAGGAAGTGATCATGAAGATGATGCTAGCACCAGTAGCACCAACAAGGCCAAAACTAATGACGGGTCTGACTTCAAGGTTGATGTCCCAACTTTTGAGGGAAAGAACGACATGGACAAATTTCTAGAATGGCTAGAGACGGTGGAACGCGTTTTCGATTTCAAAGAAGTCTCTGATGAGAAGAAGGTCAAGATAGTGGCATTGAAGTTCCGCAAGGATGCATCTACTGGGTGGAGTAATACGTGCACTAAATGGAGAAGAAACTACAAGGAGCCGGTGGCTACATGGGCCAAAACGAAGTCCCTCCTAAAGAAGAAGTTCTTTCCCGCTGAATATGTTCGTGAGAATTTTGCCAAGCTTCAAACGCTTAAGCAAGGTTCTAAATTGCTTGAAGAATACACCCGCGGGTTCGAGGAACTCTTGCTAAGGTGTGATTTGCAAGAAGATGATGAGCAAACCTTTGTACGATACCTATTCGGCTTAAACGGGAAACCTTTATACCCAAGATTAGAAAAGGCAAATAGGAATTGAATAACTTTGAGTTTCAAGGTTCAGGGATGTAGAATAATCGATTAATATCTCTAGATAATTGATTCACAAGATTTGGTTTCAATCCGGAAATGTTTAGAGAAACCAAATAGTCGATTGGCATTCAAGGAGAATCGATTATCAAGGGCTTGCTCAAAGCTGGGTACTTTCAGAGAGTAGAGATAATCGATTATTACTTGTAAGATAATCGATAATGTGAGGTTGCTGGTTTTGCGAAGAAGAATCGGAGAGCTATAATAGTTGATTATCAATTATGTATAATCGATTATTTAGGGCTTCAGAATCAAGGTTGGAAGAGAAAGTGGGAAAGGCATAATTTGGGTAAAAAGGATTTCAAAAGAAACAAAGGTTTTAAGAGATAATAAGAAACTAAGGTTTGACTAGTCTTCCTTTGATTTCATTTTTGACTTGGAGTTAAAAATTGATGGGAAAGACTTTATTTTGAATTAAAGAAAAGAAAGAAGACTTTTGGATATATTGGGAGAGTTGGGATTTAGGTGGAGCCATCCAGGGGTACATCAACCCATTTGCTTTCGATGTCAAGGACGACGAGGTCATTATGCTAACGAGTGCCCCAACAAAAGGTGATGGAAATCGTTAAGTGTGATGAAAAAGAATTTGATCCAACTTGGGCTGAAGAGAACATGGAAAAAAACGAAGAAAAAGATAAATGAATTGGCCCCGATGAAGGAGAGCTCTTGGGGGAAGGGGGAAGAAATACACAATACATTGAATGTAGACATAAGGAAACTTCCTAGCAACATCCTCTCTCAAACCCTTGAAATATCAGCCATGTTTTAGGTCCTTTTATTGGAATAAAATCAGGGATGGGTGTGGTTGTAGGGTCTCCAATGAAAGGCAAACCAAGGGGAATGGATAGCATTCTTTTGGGCTGATTTGGGGGGATGTTGTTGTACCCGAGACCCGGGGTCTTATCAAGTAATTAATTTGATGGTGGATTTATGGAGGAAATGGAAGCAAGAAGGAAACAACTTTGAACTCCAAAGTTCAAAAGCTTGTGATAGTCGATTATCACTCCCTGATAATCGATTAACAAGATATGATTTCCAAACCACGAATGTTCAGAGATGCCCGATAGTATAATCGGTTATAGGAAATGACTGGGTGAAATATGGAGGTGATGAAGGAGTTCTTTTTGGTATTTTGATTTATGAAGGTAGAATAGAATGTGGCTTAGGAATAGAAAATGGAGAGGAATGAAATGGATAGAAAACAAGGATGGATAAACCAAATAATGAATAAGAGATAAACACACTCTTACTATATTTGGGGCTGATCTATTTCACACAATAATAATCACTACTAATGTATAAAATAGACTCCTAACACACACTCAAAAGTAGCCAACTTTAGAGATATTTCATTAGGAAATTTTGCTAAAATAGCATCACACTATTTTAAGAGAATACTCAAAAAGAGTAAACAATAATTTCATTCAAAACAATCTAGTCTGTTTTACAATGGCTCATGGCCGAAATATATACAAGGGAAGGGAAGGGGAAATACAATCAAATGAAGATAAATACAACTAGGAAACTTCCTTCCATCTTCCTTACATTTGACATTATCACAAACATCCTTATTGAGCTGATTTAAGGATAAAAGGAATGGATTTTATTTGGATTGTTGTGGTGTGATATCTCGGCCTTATGTGGGAAATAGCAAAGGAATGTTGTGTGACTGAAATTAGGACTAAAATGACTTATTTTTATGTAGGAAATTCGGCCCTAAGGGATCAAGACAAAGGAGACAAAGTTTGGCTTGACTTTAAGTGAATAATAGGACAATAATTTACTATTCAATCAAAGCCTTCTTTGCTGATTTTGTCCTTTTTTTGTTGTTGTTTTCTCATGATTTAGGGCTGGATTTTAGGAAGAAAAGGGGTGGGGATTTCGTTGAAAAGGTGTAGGGAAATAAGGGGAAGGTCTTATTTAATGAAAGGAACAAAAGGAGTAGAAAATAACACACAAGGTTTGTCTTTTTGATCCTCATTTTCGTCCAAGGTTAAAAAGGAGGGTAAAGACTTTATTTTGATTATCAAATGAAGATAAAATACTTTTGGATATTTTGGGAGAGGTTGGGATTTTAGTAGAGCCGTCCAGGGGTATATTAGATGTGTCCAGCCAACTAGGGGGGACAAAGGGAAAGGATAATGTGTGGTACTTTGGCTGCATATATGAGGATTTATTTGGTGGTTAAAGGGTTAAGAAAGTACCATGTTTCTCCTGGAATTTTATGGTTGTTTAGTGGGTTGTACTAGGGAACATAGTAGGGACCATGTTGGGTGGATGTTGGAAGATGAATGGGGCTGTTTTGGTTTCCTATTGTGACCAGGGATTAAAATAGATAGNGCTGCATATATGAGGATTTATTTGGTGGTTAAAGGGTTAAGAAAGTACCATGTTTCTCCTGGAATTTTATGGTTGTTTAGTGGGTTGTACTAGGGAACATAGTAGGGACCATGTTGGGTGGATGTTGGAAGATGAATGGGGCTGTTTTGGTTTCCTATTGTGACCAGGGATTAAAATAGATAGAAGAGACTTTATTTTGGATATCAAAAGGAAATGAAATATATTTGGATAGTTAGGGTTGGGTTGGACGGAGCGGGGTTGGCTAGCGGAACCCTTAGGTCAAAACGAAAGTTATTTTGGCCTTTCGGGCTAAAGGACTTTGAGTTCTCACTAAAATGGATCATAATGTTTGAACCTAAGTCCTTTGGTTTCCATGAGGGTGTGGGATATGGGGGAGGGTATGATAGGGTCGGGCCCAGATATATCAAAGTTGTACGAGAATCTCGAAAAAGCCAGTTCTATGCTCAAGAGATGAAGTTCTTGGGAAACTTCATCTCTAATGAAGGCATAAAAGTTGATAAAAAGAAGACACAAGCCATCAAGGAGTGGTCGATCCCCACCTCTATGCAACAAGTTCGAAGTTTTCACGGACTTGCCTCTTTCTACCGGAGATTCGTAAAAGATTTCAGCACCATCATGGCATTCCTCGAAGGATGGTATCACACTGATCACACAGAGACACCAAATTCCTTCATCATTTTTGGATGACTCTATGGAGAAAGTTGGGTACTACCACACCAAATCCCTCGGAACTCTCCTCCGAGCCCTCATAAAGAAAAATATCAAACAGTGGGAGGAGCTACTACCACACACTGAGTTTGCTTACAACCAAACCCCGAACAAGACTACCAGACTATCCCCCTTCACCATTGTCTATGGTTCGAATCCCTTGATACCACTAAAGCTTGATCCTATCATAACGGATACCAAGTATAGTTGGGAAGCAGACAAGAGATCGAAGGAAATTCAGGACCTTCACAACAAAGTTCGAGAAAGAATTGAAGCTGTGATTGAGAGAATTAGCGCGCGCATCAACAAAGGAAGGAAGGACGTCCAGTTTCAACCAGGAGATCTTGTTTGGATTCATCCTAGGAAAGAGCATTTCCCAACGAAACGCAAGTCAAAGCTGTTACCAAGAGCCGATGGACCCTTTGAGATATTGGAGAAGGTAAATGACAATGCCTACAAAATCAACCTTCTAGGAGACTATGGAGTATCGGCCACATTCAACATCAAGGACATCACCCCGTACTTTGAGCCTGAAGAATTACGAGTTTGAGGACAAATTCTTTTGAAGAAGGGGAGAATGATATACCTCGGGCGACTACCAACGACTCTAAAGTCGTTAAGCAAATTAACGAAATAATGGCTAAATGTTATGATTCCTTTTGGACCAAACTTATCAATCCTAAAACCCGCCACATAGCCATAATTTCCCTTAGCCCAACGCCCACTTAAAACCCAGCCATTCTCATCTAAGCCAAACCCCAAAATATCCAAAATAACAAACCCAAAACTACATTTCTTTTCCTTACCCTTCCTCCCTCCATCCCTGACCAAAAACCCCAGCCCATAACCATGCCATTACCACTTCCTTACACCTCAACTTGGCTAAACAAACAGCCACAAAATCCAAGACACTTTGAGCCACACCCACACCGTTCAACCCCCCTTTGTTTCCCGCATATGCTGCCCAGGAAATGTATCCAAATAGCCTATCATCCAACCTTTTCTCGTTCCCAAAAAAAGCCCCACCAAAGCCAATCAGTTGTGAATTATATTCACATATTCCCTCTTACCATTAATGGCCAAGAATCCTACCCTACAAGTACAATCACCCCTGTGTTTTTCCCCCACCAAAGGAACATCAACAAGTGGCCATTAATTCCTTTAGTTTGTGTGAATAAGAGACTTGGTAGTCTCCTTTTTCTATGCCTATATAAGCTCATCCCTGAGCATTCTAAACACACATTGTATTCCCATTTTCAACTTAGTAATACACTTGTTTGTGTGTGCTATTTTAAATCCCTAAATCTATATCATAAGATTGGTTCTCTTGAGTGTGAGTTTTAGGTTCTAGTTATATAGATAAGTGTGTCATATCTTATTTAAATACTAGACTAGACCCCAAGTTAAGATAAGAGTGTGTAATATCTCTTAACCCCAACTTGATAATATTTATTTGTTGTACCCGAGACCCGGGGTCTTATCGAGTAGCTATTTTATGGCGAATTTGCGGAAGGAAATGGATGATAGAACTGAAGGGATGAAATATGGAGTATGGGAAAGAGTTCTTTTTGGTGTTTTAATGAGAGAAAAGAATAAGTTTAAGAAGAAGAAATTGTGAGGAATGAAATGGGCAGAAATAAAGTGAAGGGATAAACCAAGTTGATGTTAAGAGATATGACACACTCTTATCTTAACTTGGGGCTTTTATCTTCTTTTACACATTAATAATCACTACTAATGTATAAAATTAGACTCCTAACACGCACTCAAAAGTAGCCAACTTTAGAGATATTTCATTAGGAAATTTGGTTAAAATAGCATCACACTATTTTAAAGAATTACTCAAAGAGTAAAACAAAGAAGTTTTTATTCAATCCATGGCTCTCTTACAATGGCCATATGGCTGTGTATATATAGGCCACAATGGAGGGGAAGTACAACAACAAATAAAGAAAAATACAATAAAGGAAACTTCCTACTTCTTTCCTAAAAATCAAAGATTAATGTCCATCCATGTGAGCTGATTTTCCAAGATGCTTCTCCCGATTTTGGGCTGATCTTCCTTGGGTTTATTTAGGGAGAAATTTCGTGCATATAAGGAAGAAAACAAAGGGAAACCAAGCTTTAGATTTTTGGTAATAAAATGCCAAAACAGCACTATTCATTCAATGACTTTGTTTGTGATTTTTGTTCCTTTGTTTCAAAAGTGATCATGCTTTTGTTTTGTGGAAGAAAAGGCTTTATTCTTTGTTGAAAATCAGGAAATAATTTTAGCCTTATACCCAATCTTAGGAAAGGAAAATAGGAACTGAACNCCTCCGGTAATCGTCGAGACTTGAGAAAGTCTTCGAAGTTGAGCTTTGATACCAGATGTTGTACCCGAGACCCGGGGTCTTATCGAGTAGCTATTTTGCAACGAATTTGCGGAAGGAAATGGATGATAGAACTGAATGGATGAAATATGGAGTGTGGGAAAGAGTTCTTTTTGGTGTTTTAACGAGAGAAAAGAATAAGTTTAAGAAGAAGAAATGGTGAGGAATGAAATGGGCAGAAATAAAGTGAAGGGATAAACCAAGTTGGTGTTAAGAGATATGACACACTCTTATCTTAACTTGGGGCTTTTATCTTCTTTTACACATTAATAATCACTACTAATGTATAAAATTAGACTCCTAACACGCACTCAAAAGTAGCCAACTTTAGAGATATTTCATTAGGAAATTTGGTTAAAATAGCATCGCACTATTTTAAAGAATTACTCAAAGAGTAAAACAAAGAAGTTTTTATTCAATCCATGGCTCTCTTACAATGGCCATATGGCTGTGTATATATAGGCCACAATGGAGGGGAAGTACAACAACAAATAAAGAAAAATACAATAAAGGAAACTTCCTACTTCTTTCCTAAAAATCAAAGATTAATATCCATCCATGTGAGCTGATTTTCCAAGATGCTTCTCCCGATTTTGGGCTGATCTTCCTTGGGTTTATTTAGGGAGAAATTTCGTGCATATAAGGAAGAAAACAAAGGGAAACCAAGCTTTAGATTTTTGTTAATAAAATGCCAAAACAGCACTATTCATTCAATAACTTTGTTTGTGATTTTTGTTCCTTTGTTTCAAAAGTGATCATGCTTTTGTTTTGTGGAAGAAAAGGCTTTATTCTTTGTTGAAAATCAAGAAATAATTTTAGCCTTATACCCAATCTTAGGAAAGGAAAATAGGAACTGAACAACTTTGGGTTTCGAAGTTCAGAGATTTCTAAATATTCGATTAGCATCTTTAGATAATCGATTAATAAGATTTTGTTTCCAAACCAGGAATGTTCAGAGATACCCATTAGTCGATTGAAAAGCATGATCAATCGATTAACAACACTTGCACAAAACTGGGTATTTTCTGAGAATACAGATAATCGATTATCAGTTTGGAGATAATCGATTGTTGGAGGTTGCTGGTTTGTGATGAGGAATCAGGGGGATAGAATAGTCGACTATCAGTTATGTATAATCGATTATTCATGCTTTCAGGATCAAGATTAGGAAAGAAAGAGGAGAATATTTTGTGGTTTTGTTGTATAAGGATTTGAAAAGGCAAAAACAAGAAACAAAGGTTTTATTTTGTCTTCTTTGGTCTCATTTTTCGTCCAAGGTTAAAAAGGAGGGTAAAGACTTTATTTTGATTATGAAATGAAGATAAAAGACTTTTGGATATTTTGGGAGAGGTTGGGATTTTAGTGGAGCCGCCCAGGGGTACATCATTATCCCTGATTTTCTCCCACCCTATATCCCTCCATTTCTCACTCTAAACCCCCTTCTTTTCGTCCCTTAAGCCAGAAAGCACCCTATCATTCCTTCCCATAACTTCCCTACCCACCCCAGCCATATTCCTTCCATATTGAAACCTCAAGTAACCCTGCTAATCAATTATCCTTCACTGATAATCGACTATCCGACACCCCTGAACTTCCTTGGTAGAATCCGAAAACCAAAATAATCGATTATTAACTATTGATAATCGACTATCCTGCCTTTCTAAACTTTCTTGGCCTAAACCACACAATCCCACAATCGATTATTGCTTAAGTGATAATCGACTTTCCCCCTCCCTGAACTCTCAATAATCTTCTCGAAAATTTGAACCCCTTGTTAGTCGATTATCATGCCTTAATAATTTATTATCTCTTTCTTCTGCAATTTAAGAAGCTTTGTTCTTATGCTAAAAGCCTAATCCCGGAGCTCAGGTATAACATTTGGTATCAAAGCTAAGTGTTGAACATCCCCAAGGGCCATTCACCATCCCTACCAAGAAGTAAGCATTTTTTAGCTCAAAACTCCCTTCCTCTCTCCCTAAACCCCACAGCCAAACTAAACTGCCCTTCTCACCTTTTTCCCACTTCAACCATGTCAAATGAATCCCAACCCATGTCCCATGAAGAGCTTGTTGCCTCCAACGCAGCCTTGAAGGCCCAAGTTGAATACTTTGTGTTGAACCCGAGACCCGGGGTCTTAACGAGTAATCAATTTGATGGCGGGTTTACGGCGGAAATGGAAGCAAGAAGGAAACAAGAAACATGGCCCACTCTTCATATGGTATGGCATACTTATTTGAACATTCTCAGTGCCCATGACCACAGCCACCACACATGAAACATCGCCGAGTAGCCCATTGCAATATTGCTCCATTTGCAAGGACAATTTCCAGATTTCTGAGGTGTCTTTTAGAGACCATATCTCACAAACCGGAGATTGGAATTAGGTAATTCCAACTCTCATAGCTAGATATTCACGTCCATAAAGACATATCAAAAATTTGGAGCAATTAAAGAACGTTTGCTACCTCTTTGGAGACAAATTCAGCAAGGTAGATAGAATTCGTCCAGGATACTGTTATCAACTTTGGGAGGGCGTATCTCACTAACCACAACTCGGAATTGAGTGAAATCAGCGGCCACGCCTAGAAAAAATGACAAAATTTCGTACTGGAAAATTTCACTTCCAAATCTGTTGTGTAGCTTCCTCCGTGCTCAATTCTTTGGAGCTGAAAGTTTCTGGAAAAATTTTCAGCAACCTTCTTTTGGGTACGTTTGTGAAGTCGGTCCACAAGGTGATCGTCGAGACTTAAGGAAGTCTTCGAATATAGCTTTGATACCAAATGTTGTACCCGAGACCCAGGATCTTAACGAGTAATCAATTTGATGGCGGGTTTACGGAGGAAATGGAAGCAAGAAGGAAACAACTTTGAACTCCAAAGTTCTGAAACGCGTGATAGTCGATGATCGTTAACTGGTAATCGATTAACAAGATATGATTTCCAAACCATGAATGTTCAGAGATGCCCGATAGTCGATTATCACTTTTATGATAATCGATTGTTGGAAATGGCTGAGTAAATATGGGGGTGATGAAGGAGTTCTTTTTGGTATTTTGATTTATGAAGATAGAATAGAATGTGGCTTAGGAAGAGAAAATGGAGAGGAACGAAATGGACAGAGAACTAGGATGGATAAACCAAATAATAAATAAGAGATAAACACACTCTTACTATATTTGGGGCTGTTATCTATTTCACACAATAATAATCACTACTAATGTATAAAATAGACTCCTAACACACACTCAAAAGTAGCCAACTTTAGAGATATTTCATTAGGAAATTTGGTTAAAATAGCATCACACTATTTTAAGAGAATACTCAAAAGAGTACACAAAGTTTTTCATTCAATACAATCTGCTGGTTTTACAATGGCTCATGGCCGAAATATATACAAGGGAAGGGAAGGGGAAATACAATCAAATGAAGATAAATACAAAGCTATTTGAGTGTTTAATCCAAATAGGTAACGTACCAATGTTTGTGAATCATTTTCGTGAAGATCACATCTCATCAAAAGTTCTTCAAACTCCCGAGTATAGTCTTCAACTGAGCGGGGACCTTGCCTTAGNACAAAGTTTTTCATTCAATACAATCTGCTGGTTTTACAATGGCTCATGGCCGAAATATATACAAGGGAAGGGAAGGGGAAATACAATCAAATGAAGATAAATACAAAGCTATTTGAGTGTTTAATCCAAATAGGTAACGTACCAATGTTTGTGAATCATTTTCGTGAAGATCACATCTCATCAAAAGTTCTTCAAACTCCCGAGTATAGTCTTCAACTGAGCGGGGACCTTGCCTTAGATGTTGAAGTTTGGAAAAGTTGTCCCGTACATATTGTTCGGGCAGGAACTTCTTCTTCAACAAGCTCCTCATCTTGAGCCAAGTCTTCACAGGGGCCTTATTCTCTCGCCTTCTTTTGGTGGATAGGTTGGACCACCAAGTGGAGGCATACTTCCGAAACTTCAATGCCACGATCTTGACCTTTTTTTCTTCGGGCACATCTTTGAAGTCAAAGACGCGCTCAACAGTTTCCAGCCACTCTAGAAAGTCATCCGGATCATTTTTCCCTTCAAAGGTTGGTATGTCAACCTTGAAATCCGTAGCTCCTCGTTCATGATTCTCCTCTCTAGTGGTGTTACTAGAGTTAGCTTCGGGGTGAACTTCTTCGTCTTCTTCACTTTCCTCCGGGGTATTTACCATGCTCATCTTGAGCTTAGTGAGTTGGGCAACTTGCTTGGCCAAGTACTCAACTTGGGCCTTGAGAGCAGCATTGGAGGCTAGGAGTTCTTCGTTGGACAGGTTGTTGGAAGTGTTTGACATGATGATAGTAAGGGAAAGAAAGTAAAGGATATGGAAAGGAAGGAAAAGGGGAAGTGTGTTGTATGGCCTCAAGGGAATGCTCAACAACAAGCTCTGATACCAAATGTTATATCTAAACTATGGGTTTTATAGTTACAATCTCTTTATTTGCAGGGAAGGGGAGATAATCGATTGTCCTAAGTGGATAATCGATTGCTGAGGGCTTCAGCTTCTTGGGCGATTTCGGGGAATGTTCTGAGAAGGGAGATAATCGATTATCGGAGGAGTGTTAATCGATTATTGGAAGTTGCAGGATTCTGGGGAAGCTTGATAATCGATTATCTAAGAGTGATAATCGACTATTGAAGGCTGCAGGTGTTTCACGAAGGATGGATAATCGACTATTTATAGTGATAGTCGATTACTTGGCAGCGCGGGACAGGAAAAGAAGTAATTTTGGGAAGGGGAACAAGCCAAGTTGGTGTTAAGGGATATCACACACCCTTATCTTAACTTGGGGTTGAGTCTAGCATTCAAATAAGATATCACACACTTATTCAAATAACTAGAACCTAAAACTCACACTCAAGAGAACCACTCTTAAGATATAGGATTAGGAATTTGGAATGAAACACACAAGTGAATCACTTTGATTAAAAATGGAATGCAATGTGTTTCTACACCCAGGCCTATTGCTGAATATATAGGATTACATTGGAGGGAATAAGGGAAAATACAATTCACTCAAAATAATGCCCATGTGCTTATGTTTCTTAAGTGGAATGAAATCAGGGATATGGGTTGTTTGGTGGGGTTTTGGGCAGTTGCAGGAAATGTTGGGGGAAGGAGGGATGAATGTGGGAAAGGCTGAGGTTGAGGGCCAAGGAGTGGGGGTGAGATGAAGTGGTACATTTGGCTGGGTATTTGTGGAGGTTTTGGGGGAATTTGAATTTGGTCAGGGTTGGGAGACAAAGGGGTATGTGTGGGGTGTGTCATTTGGAGTTTTGTTGTAGGTTTGTTGTGGGGATTGGATGTATTATTGTGAAAGGAAAATATCTCTGGGCATTTTGGGTTATAATTTGAGTGTATTGGGGAACATAATGGGGACCATGCTGGGTGTGTTTTTGGACACTTATTTTCGGCATTGTAAAA